AATTACTTGCAGTAGTTGCAGTTCACCACATGGAGTCAGTGTGGGCCGCTCAGCCTTTTGGGTCAAGCATCGTGTGTGTTGATGCCTCTGTGTGTGTGGGGGCTGGACAGGTTGAGTCAGATGCTATATTTATACTTTATGGGTGTGTGTGTGTTTTAGAAAATGAGTGTGAGCGCTGAGTGGCAGTCTGTGCTGCAACTTTCCCAGCGGGACACAGAAACCACAATATCCAAGCACTGCAGCTGCTGTGCCCAGCCCAAGCCACGTGGGTGTGCTGTGTAGGTGTTCTAAATGAGGGAGAGAAGAGATGGAATAACAAAAGCAGAAGCTGGTTTAAGTTTTAACATGGAAAATTATTCCGAACAGCAACAACAACAGCAGCCACGTTACTAGCTGTTTAGTATTCTGCACAAGGGAAAAAGAAAAAGAATGTAAATTTAAACTGGTTTCATAATAGAAGTTCATAGATATTTATTAGCTTGCATCTACATAAACTATATAAACACTATCCTCATACATCTGTTATCATAATTATTGTTATTATTGTTTATCAGTTCTTTATGCAGTTTATAAAGAACACACTATGGAGACACAGATACAGCACCTCTAGCAATTTTCATTCCAGTGTTCACCTGAAAGTCCAACCCATCTGTGTTTGTTTACCATTTTTTCCCAGAGTTGTGGATATTAATCTGCTGCTAAAACTGCCTAGGCTCTTTGGCGAAAGGTTTTCCACAAGATTTTGGAAGCTGCCTGCAGGGATTTGCTCTGTGCAAAAAGCATTGGACAGGACTGTGGACACGAAGTTCCACTCAAAACTGGCAAACGCTTTTATTTATGAATCTGGCTTCATGCATGGGGAAACTGCCTTGCTGAAACAGGCCGGAAATTTCCCAAAACTGCTGGCACAGAGTTGGATCACTTTATTAACTAAATTATCATTGTTTACAGCAGCATTATGAATTTCCTTTACAGGAGCGAATGGGCCTCAATTTACAAAACAGAACCCCAGATGTGAAGTAGAGAAAAGTATGGCTGTCCAAGTACTTTTGGCCAAGAGCTGAGAAGCAAATCTCTGACCAACATTAGTCGAAGACAAAAAATCAAAGCAAAACTTGGAAAAATGGATTTCTTGTTTATTACTTCAAGAATATGAGGCAGGCTTTTTGAAGGGTCAGCATCGCTAATTGCGCATGAGAATGTTTCTATATTTCAGCTACCAGTAGTAAACTGGCCTTCTCCTCATCGTCTAGAACGTCACAGACAGTCTGTCAGAGGTCGGCAGCTCTGAGACGGCTGATAGCAGCCAAAGAAAATCTCTCACCATGCCTTTATCTGCCTGTTTTCTTCCAGGATTCTCCAGCCAGGCGGAGAGGAAAGCAGATAATCTTCATAGACACAGACTTGCCCACTGACTCTGAAGAATGGCAAAATACAACCCCAATCCCAACATGTTTGGAGATACTAATGCCTCAGTTTTTATAAACTCTCCTCCAATCAGTAGTTTAACAGAAATATTTATTTATCTTTCCAATTAAATCATAATTTATACAACAATTTCAAATATTCTTGACAGTCTTGCTTCAGATAATATACCATTTACCTGGACTTTTAGAAGTGAGTGACTTGTGTTACAATTACAACATACTGTTTAGCATATTATCTGCTTTTCTGTTAAGTAGATGGTTAAAAAGGACATTTTATTGACAATGAATATAAATTCGAGGAATCCATCTCAGCAACAAATAAACTCTGTGGCGACACTTCAGCTGTTCACCACTGATTTATATTGATACTTTATATTGATACAATAATAAATGTTTCCTTTGTTAATGTTGTATGTGGGGTTTAAGGTCAGCTGTACTGCTTTTGGGGGAAATAATCATACGTTTGTTGTTTATTGTGATGTTTCCCAAAATGTCTTGAAAAAACACTGCAATAAATCAAAAAGGTTCTAAAAATCCTGTCCAAACTCGGTTTATCACTTATGCCTCCATCTGTTATAGCAAAAGACAACAGGAGTGCAAGTGTCTTAATATTACTGATAGATGCCGACGCTACAGTATTGTTTGAATTGTTTGTAATGTTAACCAACTGTGTAATAAGAAATGAGATTTCTAAAGACCTACAGCTGGATAAATGAAAAAAAGGGTAATTTTAGCCCATTGCTGAGTGGGTTTAGGCCAATATGTCATGTCCTAATATAGATTTTGAGAATATAAATGTAATGTTACTGTTAAAATGTTGAGGCGCAACCATGTATCATACACAACTAAAGTTTTATGGATATAAATTTAATGTTACTGTGATGAAATAAAAAAAATTATGACACTTTTATGAGGTGTTTTAAGTGCATAGAAAAACCACCAGATCATTTTAACGTGTTTGCTAGTGACACATAAAGTGTGTCAGGAAGGGGGGGATTTGGGGTTTAAGTTGAAATAAGGGGCTTTATGATCATGTTAGGACTTTCTGGGTGTTTGATAATTTAGCTATGATAAAACTTACTCATAAGTAATTGCTTTTATGCTTAAACCTAATTGATTGAAAATGCTTGTTTTGTTTTCTCTTTGATTTTTTTTAGTAGAATAAGTGAAAGGTGACAGTGTAGTAAAAGGTCAATGTAAAAACAAAATGCTTGCAGAGACAGATAACAGGACGTTAAGACAGTTTGCTTGGAAACTTTGTACTTGTTTGTGATCAGATAAGAGAAGAAGAGAGCTTCTTAAAAGGGTGTCAAAAGTGCTGTTTACCCAAGTGAATAACATTGAAGATTATATATGTATAAATGATTGTTTATAAACACATTGCAATCGTGCTCATAGGAGTTTCTACTCAGTCATGTGGAGGTCAAAAGCTTATAGGAATGGCTTATAGTACAGAGGGGTAAATGCAAAAACACGCTTACACACATAAATAATAATTAGGCTAATCCTTTTGATTAGAGAGTCCCGAACATGATAGGTTGAACCAAGTTTGAAGAATTAAGAGAACAATTGATCAACATAATAGGTTATGGAGGCGTAGCAGGGGATGAAGGAAGCACGAGACCAAAGGGAACCAATCACAGAAAGGGGGACCCCAAAAGAAGCACAGAGCACAGAGAACCACAGTTCCAGAAAAAAAGAAATATTTTTTTTGACTTGCTGGTTTTTATTGGTTAACCATTAATAACCTCGTAATCCTGATGACCTTTGTTATCCTATTTTGAAATGTTTCTTTTGTATGTTCACTTTGTAACTGCTGATTTGCTTTGTTCATGTGCGTATGTCACCTTAGCACTTGACATTAGTCTTGTGACTTTGTCCTTTAGAAGAAAATATCATCTTCCTGGTGGAGTTGACAGCTTGGGTATATTCGCTAACAAAGACTGCCTAAGCACACCGACAGGACATGACAGTAGTTTTCAGGGTGACATATTTAAAATGGATTATATCCTGGCTGAGACTTCTGGTCTTTTCATGTGGGTGTCAGGAGATTGGCAGTAAACAGAGTGTGACACTGATTTTAAAAAGAAATAGTCTGCTCAACCTGAAACTCTGACAAAACCAAATTAAAACTTCCCATTTACTGTGATGGAAAATGTAGCCTGGAGTGTTGTTTTCACATTACTTGCAGTGCCTGAAGGGGGGGAATGAACTCTGGTATCTCCAGCTGTAATTATTTTTGAATTATGTGCATATGTAATAGGAATTTTTAGGGGGTTTAGGTAGAACTCAGGAGCACGACAATGCAGACTCACTTTAATCATGACCTAAACCTTCAAATCCTACAGTTTGAATGGGCCACATACCACTGCATTTCACCACATATCCATCCTGACATCACTGTGCCCTATTGAAGACAGATAAATACACACACACAGCAGCTGTAGCTAAGTTTAGCTTCCATCGGGTCACGGTGGAATATTCAGAAACAGTGGTGTAGATTTAACCACCATATGGGAGAATCTGACACTATGTGGGAAAGATTAAAAATACTTTGTAGCTTCAAAAAAAAAAAGGAAAAAAAGGTGTGAGTCTGTTTTTTTTTCTCTTTGTGAGTAGCCCGTGTGCTGAATTTTAAACTGGTGTAACCCTTCCATAAAACAAACACACCAACGCGGACAAATACACACTCACCTCAGAGCGTGAGCCAGCATCTATTCAGAGACAGCAATCATAACTCAGAGCAAAACGTACCCTGCAAGATCTTGTAAAGTGTTCAATAACGTGCTGTTTGCATACTGATGTGCATTTGTTTGTGTATTAGACAAAGAGTGGCACCGCGGAGTATAGCTCAGCATTAATGAGATGACAGTAAACACATTAGTTAACTTGTAGCCTGATGCTTCATTATCTCTCTATTCTTTACGCTCACCATCGCCTCCTATCTCTGCATAAAAATAATATCATGACATCCATCTGTGTGATACTGACAGACTGCAGGTCATAAAAAGGTTAAATGCCTCCCAAAAGGGCACGGATAACTCTAATACCAAAAGCCATGAAGTACTTCTGACACTTGACAAATCTTTGACAGCCTGGCAAAACTTCCGCAGGTTTGATATCTACCTCGCGCCGCATCTGCCGAGTTGTGTCTGTGCTACTATTCCTGTCACCATGAGAGTGCAGATTGGTGGCATGCCCTGGAATCTTGGTCCCAGACTGTAGCAGCTGTATTTACCAATGAGTTCATCCACTGGGTTAGACACTAAAGCCCTGCCAGGCTCCCTCTCGGTCTCTTTGGGTGTGGGGTCAGGGTGTTTATCCATGCATCTCCATGCTCGCTGGTTGGTTGGTGTGTATGATTCATGGGTGATACTCCCTCTTGGAAACGGAGAAAAGGGCAGCAGACAAACTCAACACCAACAGAGCCGGGGTATCAGGGCAAGAGACATGAGGGCTTTGGGATGGTTCATGTTAAAGTGCCAAAAAGGGGGCGGGCTGTAGCATTGTCTGTGTTTGCAGGGGGCCATTATTAACCTCCGCATCATGATGTCACATGCTCTCTGCTGAAGGCAGAGAGGGACAAACACACAGATGGAGAAAGCTTGCCAAAGGAGACACACTCTTTCCTGCGCCTCTCATTTCCTGCTTCTTGCTCTCCGACTAATATCCAATTCTTTTTACACTTTTTTGGTGCCGGCTTGTCAGCAACCTCTTTTTTTGACTTCACTCTTCAGCTTTTCCTGTGCTTGCTGTGTTTAATGTTTCTTCACCGTTGCTTCCTGGCTCCTTCCTGACAAATCTTTTTCCTTTAACTTGCTTTCACTTTTTTCAAAAGTTTCCTTATCTTCCTTCCATCATTTCCACTCTCTTGTCTGCCGTCTTTTGGATGGATAGCTACTCTGTCCTCTACAGTTCTTCCCACAGAACCGGACTTCTCTCTGGCTTCCAGCGCCTTCGCTCACAGAGGAAGATGTGTGATGTTGTCTTACAGGCTGGCGGCATATCTTTTCCCTGTCATCGCGCCCTTCTAGCCAGCTCCAGTGACTATTTTTGGGCCCTGTTTGGAGAGACTACTGCAGAGAGATTAGCAGGCTCCATTAGCCTCCCTGCGCTAACACCAGAGGGCTTAGATGCCATTCTGGACTTCCTGTATTCAGGTTGGCTCAGCATCTCACCCTCCACACTTCCTATTGTCCTGGAAACAGGCAGGTACTTGCAGGTGGAAACAGCTGTGGCGATATGCGAGCGTTACATGACTGATGGTTTAAATGCCAAGAACTGCTGTGACTATGCTAACCTGGCTGAGCGCCACGCCCTCTCAAATGCACTTGAGGCTGCCAATCAAACCATTGCCATGGAGATGGGAAGCTTGATACAAGAAAGCAGGGACGATCTCCTGACGTTGAATATTGAATCACTCTTGGCGGTTCTGGATGCTGATGAGATACCTAGTGTTAAGGAGGTGGAGCTCATAAAGCTGGTCCTGGATTGGCTGGATGATAACGGGCCCCTCCCACTCCTGAAATCAAATCTTTTGTTGAGTCGTTTGCGCTTTGGATTGGTCCCCCCGTCTGACCTCACAAATATCAGCCATGCCCACAGAGCCATGGCCACACCTTTAATAAGGAGCCAGCTGACACGAGCATCCGAGTACCACAGGCTCGGTTCAACTCAGCCCATCAGGCAGAGCCGGCAGACAACGCTTAGAGCATCACCCAATTGCGTGCTTCTTGTGGGTGGCGGGTCCAGCACTGATTGGCCAGAAAAGCAGGTGATGGCGTTCGATCCAAAGAGGAAGAGGTTTTCATCTTTGACTTGTGTTCTTCCGCTGAGACTGAGAAATCCCTGCGTGTGCTCAGTGGGAGGTTTCCTCTTTGTGATTGGAGGAGATGAAGTGAAAGAGGGAGATGAAGATGAGAAAAGGCTTGTTACTGTAGCAACATCCAATCAGGTGTGGCGGTACGATCCTCGCTTTAGTTGCTGGGAGCAGGTGGAGTCCATGCTGGACAGGAGGGCACAGTTCACTTGCTGCGTGGTAGAGGATGTTATTTATGCTTTGGGCGGACGACACACACGACCAGACACCAACACACATGCCTCTGTAGCTTCTGTGGAGTTTCATGATATAGCCACAGGAGCATGGAGGAAAGGGCCACCAATGCCTCAGACACTTTACGGCCACGCCTCTGCTGTGCTTGACAACAGCATCTATGTGTCAGGTGGTGTTCCGGGTAACTATAGTTACACTCAGGATGAAAGCAGGGAGAGCAGCAGAGAGGTCTTCTTCTGGGATCTTAAAGGCAGAGTCTGGGAAAAGAGGGCATCCATGTCCATCGCCAGGTTCAGTCATCGCTTGGCAACTGCTCATGGCTACATCTATGCACTGCTGGGGATGTACGAACCCTTCTGTGATATTGAACGATACCATCCACAGTCAGATCACTGGATGCGACTCAAGCCGCTTCTCACTGGCTCCTTCAACTACGGCATGGTATCCATGTCATCTGGGAATCTTCTGGTTTTCGGAGGGAGAAGGTGGAGTAACGGGCAGGAGGTGGTTGTGAAGAGTGTGCTGGAGTATGATACAAAGAAAGATTGCTGGAGAGAGATCTGCCAGCTTCCCAGACCTCTCACTGGGACTGAGTGTACGCTGCTGCCTCTGCCAGACTAAAGAGCACAAAAAGTGAGAAATGTATTTTACAAGTGCTGAGAGCCAGTTCCTAAAGTGAGAATTTCACTTTGAGTGGGTGTAATATGGTATCAAAATGCTGAGCAGATGCTTTAAAATCAACCACAATGTAGTACATTTTACCCCCATTTTCCCCAGGCTGTTCAAACTCTAGGTTTTGGGTACTAAAACACAGAAATAAGGATATTGCTCATAGTTGAGCAATAGTCTTTGGGGCCTGTGCGGGAAACTAGGTTGGGGGACATGAAATGTTTACTACCACGCAGCCCTTAACAACTTCCTCAGTTGTAATACTTTTATTTTTTAATATTATTTCTGGTCTTTCTGGTCTAGGGAAAAATATCAAACAACTAGTTTTCTCCTACTAACAGCTAGCCTAAGGCGTGTTGTCTACACTTATTTGCATTTGACACATGAAGGTGTACAGCAACAAAGCAGTTTGATTAGCTTAGCATAAGGCACACAGCCAAACACAGTATATAATTTTTAACACTTTTATGTCTACATTGATTAAAGATGTAGCCTAAGGTTTCATTTAATTCATTTTAAGCTAGCTGTTTTTTCTGTTTCCAGTATTTATGTTAGGCTAGGCTAGGCTAACCTTCTTCAAGATAATCCAAATATTTCTGATCTAGAGTTATATAAAAATCCCAAACAAAGCTCATATCTTTTTCCTTAATAGAAACCCTAAAGGTTTTAAATATTTTGTGTAATAGGTGGATAAAGGCCTTTCTCTGGTTTCATTCTTTAAGAAACCTAGCAACTACTATTTTGTAAGAATTATTTGTAATGTCTGAACGGATACACTCACCAAAGACTTTTTTAGAAACACCTTTCTAATACTGGGTTTGGATTCCTTTTGCCTTCATAACGTTATTCTTCATGGCATAGATTCAACAAGGTGTTGGAAACATTCCTCAGAGATTTTGGTCTATATTGACATGATAGCGTCATACAGTTGCTGCATATCTGTTGGGTTCAGGTCCATGATGCTATAATTGACTGATTAGGTATTGACTGAGTAGGTAACATAACATTTGAACACTTGAAAAAGTCGCAAGTGAGCGTATAATCTTCATAAACCCCTATTTTTTTATGACAAACAAAAGGCTAATGCTGGTTAGCCATAGCAATGCTAGCTGATGTCCCTATCCCAGCTTTTATGATAAATTATTGTTTACTGCTGCTTAGTTCAACACTTGTAGATTTTCCAGAAAAATATATGAGAAGACCAATAAATATCTGTGTGCGTGTGCGCCCGCGCCCACACGTGCATGCATTTGTGTTTGTGTTAAATATGAAGCTAGTGCCAGTAAAACTAAGCTTATATTAGTTTAACAGAAACTTTAACATAACCTTTAAAAACAAATCTGATATTTAGAGGGGGTTTTTTATTAACCAAAGTGACTGTTTTTTTAATTTTATTTACAAATTTATTTTCATTTAATTTATTTATTTATTAGGTTCGGTTCTAATCCTGCTGTCACGTATTTATTTAACATTAAACATTGCACCATAGATTAGAAAACTGATCAGTTACATGTGTAAGCTATTTATGACCAGCAGTATCAAGGGACAGAGTTGGCGGGGAGCACACTGAGTAACCTCTAATGTTTAAGTGTATGAAGTGTAAAGTTTCAGAGCTCTAATATGTGTCTGTCAGTTTAGAAACAAACAGCAACACCGAGGGCAAACTGAGCAGTAACACCAATATATTACTGGCCACTTGTGGGGATCAAATCATATAATTAACAATTTCTGTAGCGTTAGACTCACTAATCTTATTTACAGCAGGAGCAATGTTGTGTATATAATCTATGTTCTTTATAGATCCTTATCATATTGTCTCTGATTGGAATAGCTGGTCAATTTTGTGCAGTCAAATATCAAATGGCCCTTTTATGTGAGCTAACACTAAGAAACCTTGGCTCTGTTGAACTTGGCTATGTTAAACTTCTCAAACCAGAGCTCTTTTTGCCTTCTACAGTGGCTCTCTGAGTGAATGAATATGAATATGAATATGAAAATTGTGTTTAAAAGTTAAAAGCAGTTAATCTTAGTTAAGTTTTAAT